TGGAAGGTGTCAAGGCGAATACGCTCGTGTCTTGGAGTCGTGGAGTTGGAAAAGTGTCTCCGAATCGACGGAAATTACGTGGAAAGGTTGGAACGATGGCGAGATGGCGAGCCAGGGGTCATCGTCCTTGAGAGGTGTCCGCGGCGCAGAAGGGGATCGGCGTTACCCTTGACAGGAAGGCGGTGAGACGGAGACTCTCGGGTCTGTCGGCTCTTTTCATTCAGTCGCGACGTACCCTGGCCGGTGTTACGTAAGGCTTCGCATTATGCGAAGGAGACCTTGCCTTCCGTCGGTTGTACGTTACGTCACCGCGCGGTGTATCGCGATGCAGCTGCTGCTTCCAGCTCGTCGTTAGTCTCGCGAATTACGTCTCCTACGTGAGTCTGCCTTTTTCCGCTGCTCGTCTCGCCTGGTCTCCTCTCGCCATGCCACCTCTGGCCAACTGACGTTTCGTGGATTCGGAGGAACTGCGTGGGAACGCGAAGCATGCTGAATCGCGTAAGAATTCCTCTTGCTTCTCGCGATCTCTCGAGCGAAACGCCAAGATCGACGGCCGCGCGCTACGCCGCGGAGCGACGAGAGGGAAACGATACCCAGAGGGTGTCAGTCAGCGACGAAGACGGACGCGTAGATTCGTAGATCCATCGCGATCACGCACAAGTGTCGCGTAAGCGCTTGCTCTGACCAGAGAGAGGCAGTGTTGTTCCACGCGTGGTCGCGTATAGGTGCAGACGTTCCCGCATTCCTTTCGTCGTATCGATCCTCGAAACGCTCCTCGAGCCTCTCTTCGTCTCGGCCGATGCTCGCCGCGCGATAATAGATACTTGCAGCTTGCCAGGGATCGTCGCGGGACTCGTGATCCCTGCCGACCTCCCCGCTCGTTTCTCACCGCTTCCCAGTCGCTTCCCAGTCGCTTCCCAGTCGCTTCCCACGATTCCCGTATCCTCGATATCGCTATCGATTACTCGCGCCCGATTTCCTTGCCAACGCCGAGCGTTTTTCGGCTCGACGAGCTGCTGGCACATCCCGGCCGCCATCGGACCATCGTCGCGTAGTCGTCTTTGCTCTCGCGAAACACGCGTCTTGGCTGCTCGTCCTTGCACGGAACGCGCGATGCCGCGTTTCGCAACCGACTCTAACGCAACCTACGTCCGAACAAAGGATCGCGCGGGTTTGTCAGGAAAACCGGAAGCCTGGATCTCGCGTGTTTACTCCGAGGGTTCGACTCGACGCCGTGGAAAAGTCAACGACGCGGATCTCCGTCTCGAGGAGGTTTTCCCTTTCGTTCGGCAGCCATCGGGATCGAAGACACACGGTAGTCGTGGCGTGCTCGAGGACGCGAGAGGAAACGCAAAAAGTCGGTTAACGCGACGCGGTTCACGCGCAAGGACGCCTGCTGGATCATCGCTAAAAGCGTCGCAACCGGTTCCACCGCAAGCGCGCGTTATTCGATTGTTAATCGGCGATGATAACTCAGCGTCGGTCGCGTCGCCAGAGGCAAACTGGTTCCGATCCCGCCACCGATTAATCTTCCCGCAGTCGGTGAACTGTCGGACGGTTGCCGATCTCCAGGCGAAAATGGCGACGTCGGGCCAGACACCGGAAATTCGACAGCTCCCCGATCCTGTTTCGCGTAGCGAAACGCGAAAAGATTTCTAGCCGATCTCCTCGCGCGATCTGCGCCCGTTTTATGGCATCCGTGTGCTGTGCACGGCCGGTCTCTCGAGCACCTTACGACACCGGTACGCGTTTTGCAGCGCGTGTTCCGCGAAACGGCCACGGCAACGGCGCTCGTTGCGAAACCTTCCGTACAACGACCATAGATGTACATACACAGAAATCCGTGGCACGCGCGCTCCCGTGCCCACATCCGGCGCGTTACGATTTCCATGGACCGATGTCGGTGCTCGAGCCATTCCGCTTCACTCCGGTGTAGGTCGATCCTATTAACGCGATCGTTTGAGAGCCGACCATCGACCGATCTCTCCATCCGAACGGAACCGCGTCGTATCTCCGCCACCGTTCACTCCACTTCTCGGCCTTGTTCCTCCGCTTTCAAGGTCCTCTAGGGTGCCCCGTTGCTTCCTTCCCAATTGTTCCGTGTCCGAGATCGGTCGCGGACTATTTAGCGATTTCGCGACTCCAATGCGCCACTGCTCGAAACCGATTTCAACCGATCTCCACCGATATCTCCACCGATATCTCCACCGATCGATCCATCCATCAGGGAGAAAGTCGTAACCCCTGGATCAAACATTCGCGAGGATGTCTTTCGGGTTCGCTGCGACGACTCGAGCTGCGTCTACGGGTCGACCAATCGGACGAGAGAGATCCTGTCGCGGGATCGAAAATACCCGCGAACCTGATCGTGGACGCAGTTAGGTCGGCGATAGCTATTGGAGAGTTTGTTAAATTACGGGGAACACGCAGCTTCGCGCGACACCGTTCTCCGTTTAATCGCGCGCGGTCTTCCCTTTCTACCTGTCGTTTCGCGTGGTTTTCTCCGGTCATTGTGGCGATCGATCAGCTGCTCGCTCATAGATGCACGGTTTCACCCCGTGAGAAATTACTCCTACTTTCTCCGAAGCTCGGATCGCTTCGCCTCGCGTGTCGCTCCCTTCTCCCGCTCGTCTCTGCTAACCGAGCGAATTAATTCCTCCAGCCTCTCCGATCGCGTCGTCCTTGTTTCCACCTATGACCACGATGTCGCCGATTTTCCTCCACGACGTTCGCGAGCAACGCCGACCAAGCACCCACGCGAAACGCGGCGTCCGTGCGCGGAATCAATGTCGCGCCAGTGCCTCTGGCTCTCTCCTCCTACGCCGATCTCCATTCTCCGCGGACCATATACGCGTCCCGCAACTTCCGTCGGATCGGAGTCTGTATCTTGGGTAAAGTTTGCACGGCTTCTGACCGTCCCGACGTTTCGAAATCGGCGATTCTTTCGACCGATTTCCGACCGATTTCCGGCCGATTTCCAGCCATTCGACGCTCGCGAAGCCTATCGCGGCGGAAGTGGAAGCAGGTACCTCCGCGAAGCGAATCCGAAACGTGGGCAGAGGCCTCGAACCGCGGAACTAGCCGTGTCTAACCATCTAACCATCTAACCCTAGGTTGCGATACAGCCGAGTCATCCTCGGCGATTACGCGATCGCTGCGATTGCCGATCGATCGGGCTAGTCTCTGTAACCTGGACCTGTGTATCGGTAACGGGATTTTTCCGTAGCTCGGCTAGTTCCGTGGACAGGAACAACTCGGTGAAGCGCAGAAGATTGGCGAGTCAGAGGTCTGGAAAGTGGAACCGTGGTTGGTTAATAAGCTCGCTAATAAGATTCGAAGGTATCGTAATTCCGTTCCGAGCCGTCCAACGATTTCTCGGTTTTCTGGAACGCGGAGGAAGCAGCTTCTTTTAGAAAAACTCGGCTTTTTCTTAATGACCCGCCGCGCCTCTTCTCATTTCGAGATCTCCTTCCGGCACCCTCGCGCTGCTCTCTTTTACCGCGACTTCTTTCTTCCACCGGCCTTGCACCGCTTTTACCCTCTCCGGGATTCATCCTTCCTCCACTCCTCTCCTCTCCTCTCCTCTTCGCCACGCGCAATCTCCTCTCCCGAGCGTGGAAATTCGTTACAGTCGCGCTCGCCCGAGAGGAGAGCGCGGGGAAATTGGAGCTGGCGAATTTTAGGCGAAACGAGAGCGAGAGGTAATGGGGAATAATTAGGAATACCGTCTCGAGATTAGACTGTAGCGTTAACGACGACACGGTAGGACGATTCGAGGAGAATCGGCTGAGTGGCTCGTAATTACGAGCGATCGGCCGATGGACGAAAGCGGGAGAGAAGACGCGGGTGTCTTTCGGTCGTAACTCGGAGGAAAGTGGCGACCTTCGAGGTTGCAGCCAAGACGTGTCTCGCTGCTTTCTAGCGGTCGTCCCGTGTGCGGTAATCGGTCGATTCGCATACGCGATAAAACTCTTTGCTCCGACAGCTTTCGCCGTTGGACGGATTAAACTCTTACTACCCCTGCCGCGGCTCGTAATCGTTCCTCGTTAGACGTTGACGATGCTCCGTCGAGGGTCGGGAAACGAGAGGCGTAAAACTGGTTTTACGGGGAAATAATTTGGTGGCCTAGAAACTGGCCATCAATGGCCGCGTGCAGTGAATCTCGTTCGAGAACGAAAGCCCGACGAGGCGAGGAGGAACGCCGAGCGTGGTATATATCCTCGTTACGCCGCGGCGTGCCGCTGATATCGATCAGACGAGTTTCTCTGAACTTCTGCCGACAGCCGTGGTAAAAAGGAAAAAGAGAGAAAAGGGGAAAAAAGAAGAAAAAACGGAAGCACGCCGTATTAACAAACCCCGCCTTCGCGGTGCCCCAGTAGCGTAGTAGCCGGTGAATTTTCCACGCGAGCGTCCGCCAGCTATCGACACCCATCGCGAGAACCAGCTCTCATCTTTCGTCGCTCTTTCTCGCCTATTTCCACGTTCGTGCGAATTCCCCTGCATTCGCTCGGATTCGATCGAACGCGAGATTAATATCGTGGCCGATCTCGCGTTTCGCGTCTTTCGCACGATTTTCGCGCGGCCTAAATACCTCTCGCCTCGGGAAATACGCTCCGACTCGTTACTCGCTGTCGGAACGGATCGCGTTCGATTCGACGATCGAGCGATTATCGCTTAGATGGAAAATAGCTGCTAGTTAAACGCCGGTCGCACGCGTTCGATCGACCGATCGAGCTCGTTGACGGCTCACGCTAATTCCATCCCTAGGTACGCGCGCTTACCGGAAGCCAATTACCCGCTAATTAACTGGTTAATTACCACGCGAGCGGTTAACCGGGTAGATATATATATATACGGAGTAAGGTCGGATAGGTTGTAGAGGAAGTTCCGACGAGGAGGTCGAAGGAGGATTCGAGATGCCTGCGCGTCGCGAGTTGGAAAGCGATCTCGTTAACGAGCAGAAGGACGATAACTAAGGGTATCCGTTTAATCTGTTTCAGATCAAGCTGGAACGCGTGCTCGGCGTAACCGTGTCGAGCAATGCAGCCCTGGACTGCGACGCGACCAGCGAGCTGGTCGCCTATCCTGCCGGGTGAGTATCCACGCCGGTGTATCTCTTCCTTCTCTTTTCTCCGTCCTCCCTTCGCCATTTTTCTCCCATTTTACCCATTACACCCCGCGAATATCGACGCTGCCCGTTTCCTAGATTGCCTCGTTACTTTAATCGCGCCTAGACAGTGCTATCCGAAGAAGTCTCACGTAGCAGCCGTAGCAGGAACCCCCCCGATCGTGTCCAGCTTCATTCCCTTTCACGACACGGGTAGAGACGCGCGTGATTAAAATTCCGAACGCGGCGACTGTGTGTTGGACTGTGTACGCGAAAGGAAATTAAATGCAACGAGGTTAGGTGGATTTTCATTGGAAACGCGATGCCCGTGGCGCGCACCGGCACCGAGGACTACGCCGTCGGCCATCGAGTTCTAAATCATTCGTCGATAATGACCGGTGTCGATCGCGGAATTAAAGTAATTGCTGGGTTAAGGAGCCGCAAAAACGGGGCAAAAGGGAGAGTGGCGCTCGTCGATGATCGCGCTTAGATCGTATCGCCGTGAACGAGACCGAAACGCTTTTCTTACGGTTCATTTTTACGCGGATGAAATTGCGCGTGGATGGCAGCCGTAAACCGCGCGGTAATTTACCCACTACCGGGAAGTAAAACGCGCGAGATTTACTTTAAACACGCTGCTTAGCTTCCCGTCCCGAGGCAGCCCGGACCGCGCGTGGAATAGCTACAGGGAGCGTTTCGTCTCGCCTTCGCGTCTCGCCTCGAACCTGGACGGTGTCGTGATCGAGATAGAAATATTCGTGGGAAGAGACACTCGGAGTAAGAGCGGGATTACGTGTCTCGATCGAGGTTATCGAATCGCGATATTTCGATAAAGATGCTCGCCGCTAGGTGGAAGCTTGCGAAACGCGATTGGCTCGGTCGTGCGCGTGACCCAGATCCACCGATGCCCCGTACTCACTAGCGCCACCCTTCCTCGTTACTCGACTTTCCGTTTCTCGGGATTAAAACGTTGCCCGATTCGACGCGCTGCTCGCGAGTACATCTCCTCTTCGAAAGCTTCTCTCTTCTCGATTTCCCTCCCGATGAACGTCTCCATCGTCGGACTTGCCATTGACGGAGATACACCGAGTCATCGTTCCTCGAGCGAACGCGGCAAAACCGGTCGCGAAGGACGGAGACGACCGTGAAAGAAAGTTCGGCTTCGTTAGCGGTTCGTTCGGCGGCGATTCCACCGGTCACGGATAAACGCGGACGACACAAAGGAAGACCCGCGGTGTGAATGGAAGAATGGCGAAAGTGCGATCAGGAGATTACGGACGAGGAGGGTATCGCGCGACGAGAAACCAGCGTTCTACGTCTGCGTCGTAGCGCGAGTCATCGTCGGGATTTCCGCGCGAAATTCGCCTGGCTGTCGAGACGCGATGGTCGATGGAGCAGCTCGATCTCGTTTTCTAAACACCTCGCGGGGGAAATGTCGGTGTATCCGAGCGATTGCTCGGTCTCGTTAGCCGCTAATTACGATCACGATAGAGGAGAAGACGATAGAGGATAACGCACGGTCCCGACGCGTAATCGAGCATAGCTGACCCGCCCGCTGAACTCCTGATTTTCGCACGCGCTACTTAAGCCGCTTAAATCCGCGCAGCGATCAGGCCGGACGCCGAAGACGCGGGTACGTGTCGCGGATACGTCGAATGCAAGCGAGCGGGCGAACGAGCGAGCGAGCAGGAGGCCTATGTACGGTACTCGGGACGGAAATCGGGTCAAGAGAGAGGTGAATGGACCAAAAGATTCTGTGTCGGAGATCCGCCTCGGTCGATAAGCCGTGGCGACAATTAAATCGTTCGATCGACCTGGCAACCTCTTCACCTCTCGTCGCAGCGCGAGCAAACGTAGATCGCATCGCGATCGAGGACCCGGGATCCCTTGCGACCGGAACGCGTCGCGATCTTTAAACCCCGGCTGTTGTTCGTTCGTTAACGTTTCGCCACGGTGTTACCGGCTCGGGCGAAATTATGATTTTTCGCTCGCGTAATATAGCGTAATTACAGGTACGAGCATGGTAACGAGCTCGTCGAGATTCCTCGTGCATACGTCTGTTTACGCGTGCGTGAACAAAGCTTCCCTGGATCGAAAGTAGCTGTTAGCGGCGTGCTCGGTTTCCTCCACGCGCCCGGCTATCGTTCGAGTCGCTGCTTCGACCGGTCTTATTATGTCATCGCGGTTAGGAATTAGGCTTCGTTACTTCCTCGTACGTGCCAACTTTTTCCGCCGATAAAATCCGCCTGAGTCGTATCAAAGCGTGTTAACGCCCCTCGCCAACCTTTCCTTTCCGTTCCCTTCTAATCCGACCTACCTCGGCCAAATCGTCCGTTACGCGATCGCGTTTAGCCGTGTTAAAAACGACCCTGGTAATGGCTACTTTGGTCGTGGATATCACGGCGAAGTTTGCTCGGAAGAACCGAAGGAAACGGTGCAACCTAAGCCAACGGCGGCTTTGGCGCTTGTACCGTAAATCACTAGCGCCACCGGCCCGCTAATCGCCCCCGGCTGTTACCCACTCGGTCGCGCCCTCTACCGCCTATCGGAGTTTATCCACTCGCTGAAACGTGACGTCGGAACGTAGCGAATCGGACACGACGAGTCTTAATCGAGAACCAACGCGTCGGCTATTCGATTTCGATGTTAGAAACCGCTTGACATCGCGTGTATCTCGCATCGAGGAACGAAGGAAAGTTCCGCTTTCCCAGTTTCGAGGTACACCAGTCGGTTTTCGAGTTTAATCGACGGAGGCGGCAAAGCGATAAACGCGAGTCCATTAATTGCCGGGAGAAAATGGCGCGCGAAAGAAAATAATCGCTTCTCTAGGAAATTTCACCTCCGTAGTGGAACACGAGTCGGACTCTGCGAGATCCATATTCCTCCCGCGGTCGTGATCGCTCCGGGACTTTCCCGGTCGATGAGCTCTCGAACTTCGGAGACCTGTCCCGTCTCGAGGAGACGAGGACTCCGTGGAAGCGGAATGAAACGGATCCATGATTGGCAAACGGAATCCCATCGAGTCGTGATCGAGCGGTGGTCACGGCTACGGAGTCGAATCGATCTCGAGGAGATCGTGGCGAGGATCCGTGACAGCAGGGTATCCTTGCCCGAATTCGTCTCTCCCGTTGTCCTGATCCTCGATTTCGCGTTTACGCTTCGGTCCACACCGTCGTCGATTATCCTTCTTCGCTGGTGCACGCTCGACGTTGCGTGCCTCGAAGCGGAAGGTGTGCTTCCGTGGCGGTCGACCAATCGGTGACGATAACTCGGTCGTAACGAAAACTCGGTTCGCTGTAAACGCCGTAGTTTGCGCTCTCGCGGGACTGTAATTTGCCGGAGCGACCCAAGAACTGCGATCCCGCCGAGTTTACATGGGAATAATCGGCTAAGAGGCCATTCAGCAGGCCAACGCGGAACTTTGTACCGTTGGGTACTCCGAATTCGCGCCATACGGATCTACGTAGATCGATTCGATCGCCCAGGTCGCGATCTACTCGGTGGCATTTCGCGCTAATCACGCGATCAGTCGATTCTCTCGTTCGCGTGTTCCAACCTCGCGATGGAACTTCCCTGCCAAGGTCGCTGGCGAATATTCCAGTCGGCCTTTTCCGCGTTGCATCTTCACCCGAAAACTTGCCACCGACTCGAGTGCCTCCACGTTCCAGATTCGAGAAGACGATAATCGGACTCGTCGATTCCGTGGCATCTGCTAGAACGCCGGGACCGAGTCCGGGGTTGGGGGGTAGCTCGAAGACGAGGTCAAAGTTTAATCCCGAAACGTGGAAGACGGTGCATTCGCGTATGTACAGAGCGAAAGAAAGTTGGTTCACGTGACCGAGGAGCACTGGAAACGAGGAAAGTCCACCATCGGTAATTAGGTGGAACGGCCTAGCTACGTCCCGACGACACACTGTCGGAATTAGCGACCGCGGGACAATCCTTTCCGGCTAGCGAGCAAACGTGTTACGCGTTCGAACGGGACGAGCGAGAAAACGAGAGTTTCTACCTCTTTACGCGAATAAACTCGCGCGTACGCGCTTCCGTTCCGCTTCTTCGTGCCATCGCGAGACTCCTGGGTTCGAAGTTGCTACCCCTAGATAGAACGTAGCTGCGCATCGATGGAACCGATCGTGGTCGGTCGATAACTCCGACGGAGATCTAGAAATTTGGAAACCGTGGATAATCGACCGTGTTTCTTTCTTTTATCCCAAATTCGGACCGCGACACGGATGTACACCGTATCTCTTGCACTCTTCGATTGACCGAAGACCCGCTACGTCGGTGGAGAACTTTGGAAACCATGGATAATCGACTTCGATCTCCTTTTTTCCCCAATTCTAAATGTCTACCGGAACGTAAACGTTCACGAATCGGTCGATGTCCCTGATCGGTGCTGAAAATTTCGAAAAAGTAGACGATCGATGCCTCGTTGGACCGTGGCTTCTTCCTGCCACCCTAAATTCGTATTCTCTCTGTCCAGTGTACCTGCTGATCGTTGGAGCGTCGAAAGCGTAATTGCTCGTGCAACGAAAGGCATCGATAATCGGTGGGTCGATCGCGATCCGGATCACGATCGATGTTACGGTCCAGGTTGCGATCCAGGTTACGAACGCAACGTCGGAGCTGAAAGCGATGGAAGCGTTGGCGAAACGAGAGCCGTTGTCGGCGGGACGCGTATCGTGACCCGTCGCTGTCATCGAGATAGAAGAGTACTCCGCGATCGGCCGTTCTAAATCAGCCGGTTCCATCGGCCAACTTATTAGACACGCCGTCGACCGGTTTCCATGCTCGATAATCGACCCAGTGACCTTTATACCAGCGACCTTACGTGTACCTCCGCACGCAACCCGCGGCTAGAAATTACAGCCACGGGCTTCCTGGTGCATTGCTCGGGCTCTGGCCAGACTTTCATGCGCAGCTTGCAGCACCGACGTTGACGTTGACTTAACGGTACGCTCTCGACTCCCCGTGTGCTCAACGACGCGAGAGAACGTGCCTTTTTCATCGTGGGATAGCTCGTTCGGAAAACCTTTGAACCTTCACGGATTCGTGCGATAGCAGTCGTCGAAACTCGTCGTCTCTCCAATAATCCTCTAAAATTAACTACACTACTACTCTCTAACATCGAGAAGCCTTCGGATCGTCCTTTTTCTTCCTCGAGTCCTAGAGGATGAGACTTATCCGATTTTGGACGAGGCAGAAGCGAATTTTTCTCTCGTAGCATTCTACACTCGGGAGTTCAAGGTTACCCATACGTATATGTAGGATCCAGAGTCGCTTTTCGCGGTGCATCGGGTAGTTGGCTAGGTATCCTAGTTGGCTAGGTATGGGAATCGCGAGCAGTCGAAATCGATTGCCGTGCCTCGACTCGATTACACGGATCGTGGCCAGCGTGTACGTCGGCTTCAGTAGGTCGTAGGTACGGTGAGTGCGCCTCCTTCACACGGCCTCGTCGCGACGACGAGTCTCCTCTCGTCGCGAGAGAGGTCTCGCGCACTCGACGCGAGAATAGACTGCAACCGCGTTCACCGCCGCGTCCTCGGCGTCTATTTCGTTACGCACTTTGCGTTCCTGCTCTCCTCTCTTCCGCTTATACCTCGTTCCCGACTCGGGAAACGGATTCAGTCGAGTCGCGTCTGGAGCCAGATCCAGCGTTAGCCTCCGCGCATCCAAGAACGCGATTCCAGTCGAATGGAACGGAACGGAGAGCAAACGAGAGGCTACCGCGGCTTCCTCCTGCGGATGACCTTCGTCCGCGAAGCGGAAGGTGCTCGATTCGCGCGGGAAAAGTGGATTTCGAGGTTAATCGAATCAAAACTCTGTATCGACGCCGAGTTTGTTATTCTCCGAGTTCTCTCTCGCGCGGACGCGCGAGGTCCGACACGCTCGACGAGGGAGAAAAACCAGCGACTAGTTACGATTTCTCTACGGTTTCCACGTGTTCCTTTCAGACGTCCGATGCGATTCCGGTGCGAGTCGAATCCACCTCGGGACTCGTTCCCACGCGAACCTTCCAGTCGAAGTAGACCGCGAGGCGACTCCACGGAGCCGCCATTAACCCAGGGACCTGGCCTCGCGGTTCGAGGATTGCAATTTCGGTGAAATCGAGGGAGAAACGAGTCGAGAACATCGGACAACGTTCCGTGTACTCTTCTTCCGCTCGGCTTACTACCCAAGCTCGCTCGCTACTCGCCACGTGCGATTTCCCGCGCGAAGCGTGTATAGCCTCGTCTATACACGGGACTCCGTGGCAGGAAATAGCCCAAGGATTCGAAGATCGATGCTGACAATGGCTGGCGAAATTGATAGTTTACCAGCTGGATATGCTCGTCAGGCATTGGACTGGGAAGATGATCCGCTCGCCTGGCTGCGAGGCGTTTAACCCGCAGCTGCCGTATACTCGTTTTGGCGAACCGGAAGCGCGGACGTGCGTGGCTCGTTCGGCGAACGGAAGCGAGCTACCGACCACTCTAGACACGCTCGGTCGATCCGCCATGGAAGCTGCTCGCGATTTTCTACCGGAGAGAACCGCGCTACGACTTATCCTTTGTCCCACGTTGCCTTCATCTTTCCTCCTCCTCCACCTCCTCCTCCTTTCCTCCTCGATGAATCATTCGCGGTCGCGCAACCGTTTCCTCGCCGACCAAGTCGCTAACTCCTGTTCCCGTGCACGAAGACGACGAAAGTAATTGCTAGGAGACGCGTTCGCGGCGATCGATTCTTACCTACCTTTCTCTCAGTCGCTCCGGGATGCTACTTCGACTCTTCCACTTCTACTCAGCCACCTGACCCCCGGCTTCCGCCGATGTCGCGCGATCGGAAACGAGGATCGTTAACGGCGAGTCCGGCGCCTAACTCGAGTGCCCGTGTAGATGGCGACTTTTTGTAAGCCCGTAAACAGTTACAGACCACGGCCGACGACGTGAAAGTAGCACATATTTTTAGCACCGTAATTGTGGCTTAGGTCAACTCCGGTGCAACGACCTACGACAACGTGACTTTTCACTACGTATCTATGTTGCGCGCCTCGCGATTCGTCGTTCACTGTTATCCCATTCATCTGCGGGATCTTGCACGCGTTGCATCGTTCCCCGACGATCCGTTTTCGCGCATCTTCTCGAGCTCGTTCGACGATGACGACGAAGAAGGAGACGACGCGATCGGGGAACGATGAAACTTGGGTCAGTCGCAGAGTTCGCGAGACGGAGTTGCGGCGAGATTACGTTACTCGGGTGTTTTGCTAACGTAATGTCGGGACAAATGGTAGCACGCAGAAGAAATGTCGCCCGTTGGGATTGAGTTTATTGACACGTTGCGGTTTAGGTAGGCAGGCGAATAAATCGCCTCGGTGGACAACGAGATGCAACGAGCCGCACGAGTCGCGTTTCGTATTACCGCGAGCAACCGCGTGCCACCGAGCTTTTACGCTCTCCAGTGGTGCTCGCTGACGCTTTCGGAGACCGCGATCACGCCACGCGTTTTTGGTCCCATCTCTGCAACCTCTCCACCAGTTTCCTCGCATTTAGCGCCTCTTGTCTGCCAACTGACAACATACTCTTTCCCTTCAGATCTCGCTCACCCTCCATCCTCCTCGTCTTGTTTCTTAGACTTGCTTAACTGCTCCGTTCGGGTCACACAGTTTGGAAGCCGTAAAATGGCCGACGATCGTATCGTGTAGATCGATGGTAAAATGTAACGTGAAATGTAGAAAAGAGATTGGAGGTAGGCCGAGGTGAGCGTCACTGAGTCGAAACCGCGCGCGCCTAAGTTTCCAGTGCGTTATCAAATGGACCAAGAAACGCGCGACGCGTGCCCCAACGTCAAGCAGGTGTGACTAATTCCCTCCTCGCGATACACGCGATCATGTCGCGAGTAAACCGTTTCACGGCTCGTCGGAATTAATTTCGTAAGAGGTAGAGATACACTCGCGACAACGAACTAGTCGCTGTCAAAGCTGACTCTACCCTCGACTCCGGACCACGCGAGTATCGGAGATATTACTCGCGATGCTTTCATCGACAAATGGCAGATCGAAGATGAAGCTATCGTTCGTTCTCCCGGAGGAACTGCGCGTGTCACGGAGCTTGCCTTTGTCACGTGTAATTAATGTCGTTCCTTCCTCGATGGATGATAATCGGCAACGGGTACAAGTGTCACGGTGCGCGAGTAGGGTACGAATAGAACGTGACTCTCGGGTTCAGATTCAGATTAATCTTATTTTTTCCTGGACTTGGGTGTTTATAATAACGTCTTGGCCGACGGTGGGGTTATTGGTACTGTCGCGTCGTGGGCCCTGTGAGTGGCCATCTTGTAGCGACAGTTCGATCGATGATACTGTATCAAAGGCCTGGGACTACTGGTTGACTATCTCGTAGTGCGTCACGATGTGTCACAGAGACAATGTCTGGGGCCCAGGTGCGATTGTTAGCCTTGTGGATTTAGGCTGCGTCACACACGCCTAGCTTCTCACGAGCGAACGAAGAACGGTTGAAAAGGTTGTTGGGAAAATTATAGGAGGATGCAACCTCGATGCTCGTCGAAAATTCACCACGCGACATAGTCGAGTCCGATCCAGGCACGCCGTAGACCTGCACGGAACGGTGCATTCGTCGAGAGCTAATGATCGAAGCTCCGAGTTTATCGACCTTCGCCAACGGCGAATATCGTTGCCGGTTTGTCCGAGTCGATAATCTCCGATAGCGATCACGGGAAATCGGGGATACCCCGGAGCCTCTCTGCTTGGTCGAAAATGATCGAAAAGCATCGCTTCTTTCCTTTTTCTCTTTTCGTTTAATCGACCAAGCGTACCCCGTTACCAAACGGTGTTGAGCGCCTTTGGTACCGGGGCGCTCGAGCAACCGTGACGAGGCCCAGCGAGACCATCTCTGTATTTCCACGCCGTATTTCCTCTCCGTTTTCCACGCGAGATCTCTGTTCGATCGCGTTTGGAATCGTAATCGATCCTTTTCTCTCGTTGCAGCTGCACCGTGGTGTTGTTCAATCCTCGGAAGAACACCCAGGCCCACGTGTTGAACGCTTGTCGCAAGACGGTCACCTCTCTGGCCCTAGCCGGCGATGGAAGGTTTCTGGCGACCGGAGAGTGCGGCCATATGCCCAACGTTCGCGTCTGGGACATCTCCGATCCGTACAACGCCGTGCAGATCGCGGAGTTCTCCGGGCACAAGTATGGCATCAACTGCGTGGTGAGTACCCTATGTCTTCTTACTTCTTCCTTCTGTCCTATCGATGTTCCGCTAAGATCGTCCAAGTCCTTGACCGGACCGAGCCAGAAGCGAGACTAACGAAAAGCACGTTCGACTAATTCGGGGGAAGCTATACCCCGAGCTGGGTACCCGCGACACCGTGTGTCCCTGAACGCTTAACGCGATAGGAGTCATCTTTCGCTTTAACGAGCTAAATTTTAATTGGGCAAATCTGCATCGGACTGTCCAGCTTCGTGTCATCTTCCCACCGGCAACCTCTGCCGGTGTATCCAGTTGCTGCGAGCCGTGTTCTCTCAATTGCAAACTCTAACAGGAACAAACTGCGCGCGGAATATAGTTGGAAAGTTTCGCAGCTGTATAGCCCGTCCCGATTCACCGTTCAGCTGTGTTGCAGCAGCAGCAGCAGCAGCAGCTTCTCGTTTATCGGTCGGTCGATAAAAACTCGAGGTTCCGGGCGTCATCGACGACGGAATCGCTGGCATCCGTGCACTCGCCAAGAAAGTAACCGTTTAATCCGGGGGGGTAACTTTTGCGTCACCGGCAGGAATTTAATTTCGAGGGTGTCCGCTGTGCCGCTTTGTCCTCTTCCTCCTCTTCCTCGGCACGCAGTGATCTCCGCGCGAAATTACTCGTGGCGAAAAACGGGAAGAAGCTTTCCTCCCCGAGTCCCATCGCGACGAGTGCCAAGGGCGCGAGATGAGAACCTTCGCGATGGAACGGGCTGACCGCGTCGAATCCGCTTCCGCGACCTTATTCCTACGCCACTGCTCGCGTCTTAGCCCTCCACGACGCCACTTTGGTCCTATCTTTTGCCTTTTCGCTTCGCCTTTTCTTCGTTCATCCGTACAAGTGTGTCATCGTAACGGTATCGAATAGCTCATCCCGTGGCAATTATCAGTTTCTACTTGCCGAATCGAAGCAAGAAAACTCTAATTACCGCTAATTCCTTTTCTCATCAGCGAATTCCGGTTGTGGACGGTTAATTAACACGTTCGTAGTCGTTGAACCCTCGATGCTCTTTCTTGCTACCACTGACCCGATTCTGGACCGCGATTTGTCACAGCTCCGATAAGACCTTCGCGAGCTTTCGATACTAGAACAGCAAAGACGTTTATTCCTGCCGTAAAAAGCGCGCTTTTTTTCCAGCTATTCGCGAAGACGACGATCCGGTGGAAACGTTGTCACCTCGGTTTTTGTCGCGTCGCTTTCCAAACGGTACCGGCGTGGAAGCCTCGCGATTTCGAGGATCGCTCGGCTCGTAAACTCTTGGGTATTCCCGACTCGGTCGCTATTCTTTTTCTCTCTTCTGAAACTGCTGCGCGGCCGTGGCGAGCTAATGAAAGGAATGAAAGGAAGCGTCCGATCGAGGAGTCGGCGCGACATTCGCGCCACGTGCGTCCACGTACGCGCGAGCCGGCGCGAACTCGCGCGAGGCGTCGACGCTTGGCCGAGCGCGTGAATACCAAATCGCGTTCTCAGCAACAGGACAACGGGACTCTTTTTCTTTTTTCCCCCCGTTTCCCAGCATTCTCCCGGTACCTCGGGTACAATGATCCTTACCCCATCGAAGTCTCTCGCGTCGCGAACCCCTCGCGAACCCCGTTCATCCACGACACTCCTGCACCCATTGGCGCCACGTTTTTACCTTGCATCAGATGCTAATCTGGACAAACTAGAGGATGTTCCTACGCGCGTGTTCGCGTGCGTTTTTTTCTTTTTTTCTCAAGGCATTTTCACCGAGCAACAAGTACGTGGTATCCGTGGGCTCTCAACACGATATGATCGTCAACGTCTGGGACTGGAGGAACAATGTTAAAGTGGCGTCGAACAAAGTCTCGAGCAAAGTGAAGGCCGTCTGCTTTGCGGAAAATGGCAATTACTTCGTTACCGTGGGCAACAGACACGTCAAGTTTTGGTATCTCGAGTATTCGCGCAGTGCCAAGGTGAGTTTCCACTTGTCGATCCTGTCTTCCTTCTGTCAAGCTCGCAGAGAATTTTTCCGTTCACTCTTTGCTCGCCTAACCCCCGAGAAATCGAAGGATTTCGAGGATTTTGGGGAAAAGCACGCGTAATTTCGAAGAACGATAGCAAGGGGTTAGCGAGAAGAGAGAGTAATAAAGAGGATTATTGGGAATGGGGCGAGTGTGTAACGGTATCGCGAAGGTGGTGATAGTGGGAACTTTGTTGTACAGTATAAGGAACCTGTGCCTCTGATGGGTCGGTCTGCCATATTAGGAGAGCAGAGAAACAACGATTTCGTGGACGTAGCCTGCGGCCGAGGGGAAATGGCAGATTCCACGTACGCGATCACCAAAACGGGTCTTCTATGCGAATTTAATAACCGGCGACTGTTGGATAAATGGGTGGAGCTTCGCGTAAGTACCTTTGCCTGTAATGGCTCTACCGGATGCTGCGTTTAAGGCTATTACGTGACCATGAGCCGACGCGCATTTCGATATTATCGTGGAGGAATTTATTTTAATGCCATCTGCACGGGAAAGCTAACCGCCGAGTTCGCTTATCTCCTCGAGTCGTCGCGTTTATGCGAGACGTGTCACACGAGTACGCGTTGTCTCTGCTCGTAGATCTCTGATCCGTCTTCGAAACCTCGGATTTTCCTAGCCCCGCGTCGCGTAACGCTCCGTAGCTCTCCGTAGCTCTCCGTAGCTCTCCGTGTACCGCGTCCGTTTCAAGGAGTGGCCGTTTTCAGACGAGCAGTGCCAATTGCATGGCCGTCGGTGACAAATACATTTTCATCGGTTGCGCCGAGGGAATCGTGAGATGCTTCAGTCCTAGCACGCTTCAGTTCATCACCACCTTACCGAGAACGCATTACCTGGGCGTGGACGTGGCTCAGGGATTGTCCATTAGGTAGGCAGATCTTACGCGTTTCCTCGTCTAAAGTTGGCCTAGGAATTGCTGGGTGGTCGGCACCGTCAACCACGCGCCTCTCCCTTCGTTAATCCCCCGTTTCCGTTGCAGCCACATGTCTCAGCATCCGACGAACGCCAGGTATCCGGACGCGATCGCGCTGGCGTTCGACGAACGGAACAACAAGCTTACCTGTGTCTACAACGATCACAGCATCTACGTGTGGGACGTGCGGGACATCAGGCGGGTGGGCAAGTCGCACTCGTTCCTCTACCACTCGGCGTGTATCTGGGGCGTGGAGATGTACCCCACGGGGTCGGATTCCTTGTGCGCCATGCCGACTGGTAGCTTCATTACCTGCTCCAGCGACGACACCATCCGCGTGTGGAACCTCGAGAAGGACATTTCACCCAACGACACGCTCTACAAACGAAACATCTACAGCAACGAACTGTTGAAGGTTCTCTACATAGATCCGGAATTGACTTACCTGAAGGATCTGGATCTGGCCGCTGCCGGATCGACGGAGAAAAGCGACGCCTCGTACGACGGCCGAAACGGCGTCAGATCGATCCGAGTTAGCCCGGATGGGAAACATTTGGCATCCGGCGACAGGTCCGGAAATATTCGAATCCACGATCTCTCCTCGCTCGAGGAATTATGCTTGATCGAGGCGCACGACGCGGAAGTGCTGTGTCTGGAGTACTCCAAGTTCTCCCGCTACTCGGCGGAGGCTCCCAGGTTGCTGGCTAGCGCCTCTAGGGACAGACTGATCCACGTGTTCAGCGTCGATCAAGGGTACAACTTCCTGCAAACGCTCGACGATCACAGCTCTTCCATTACTGCCGTCAGATTTTTCAATCAGACCAATCAGGGTAACCAGATCCAAATGGTGTCCTGCGGTGCCGATAAAAGTATTATTTTTAGACAACTGCAATCGGTGAGTCTCTCCTTCCTCTCTCGCTTCCACTCGCGTATCCCTCGTCGGGGTACGATTGCCCTATCCTTGCTATCTCGTTATCGTTCCCGATCGTTGCAGACACCAGGAGGTATGCCGCAATTCGCCAGGGGTCACAACGCTCAAGGAAAGACGACTCTGTACGACATGGAGGTCGATTCCGGGCAGAAACACGTTTTAACCGCCTGTCAAGATAGGAATATAAGGGTATACAACGTAACAACGGGCAAACACAACAAAACGTTCAAGGGATCCGTCGGCGAAGATGGATCGCTCATCAAAGTCGTTCTAGGTAAGGTCCTGTTTAACGAGCAAACATTTTTCCTTCCTCGAGGTTATCCGTAGAAACAGTCGATAGATCAGATCTATCTCCGATAATTGCCTCCTCCTTTTCTTTTTTCCTTTCGATTGCTGGTTAAATATTCAACTGCGACCTCTACGTTCCAGACGCATCGGGAATCTACGTAGCTACCTCGTGTACAGATAAGACGCTGTGCGTGTACGATTACTATAGCGGTGAATGTATGGCCACCATGCTCGGTCATTCGGAATTGGTGACGGGGCTGCGTTTCAGTCCCGACTGTCGCAACCTCGTGTCCGCTAGCGGGGACGGTTGTATATTCGTCTGGCGTGTTCCACACGACATGGTTGTCACTATGCAGGCACGTCTCGCTCAGCAAGCGATGCGAGCTGGAAAGTAAGAACCTCTGCGTTTAACCGAATTCTCATCTTCCGTACGAACGCGTACCCTCGACCACATCGGGCAAGAGCACGTCGGATCATGCGAAATGAAAATAATTTTTCAAGGAGGCCACCGCAAGTGAACGGGACGGGGATCGACATACAACTGGACAACGAGACCTTCGGATCGCCACCGCCGGAATTCCTAGATCCAAACGCCAACCCAACCTCGCAGAACGTCAGCGTGGATTACAGGTTCAGCGTGGGCCAGTTGCCCCTCTGGGCCAAGAAGCAGATAAACACGACGAACGTGGACGAAAGCTCGGTGCTTGGTTCCAACGTCAGACCCCTCGGCGTAGACTTGCCGAAAGGCAGGTGGGCGCAAAGGGTTCAACAAGGGGATGGTATAACGGTCAAGTCCGTTTACGATAGCGACGAAGTTATACCTTTCCCACCGCCCCGCGGCGCGATCGATTCAGACGGGGGCGGTGGTGGCGGCGGCTCGAAAGACAGCTCGATCGACAGCGGAACCGAGACCAAGTGCAGCAGCGATTATCGCAGGGAAACGATAATCATCAAAAGGGTGAGGGTACTTTCGTTATTCCGACCCAGGGATCGTGTACTAATTTCTTATCGTTCGTTCTCGGAACATCGGTAACGTCGTTACGAATCGCACCGAGTGAACCTCTGCTAATAAATTAATATATCAGTAACTCATTTTTCTTTTTTTTTCTCTCTTTTATTTTCGAATCGTGCACTCGAATTACTAACAATCGATGACTGATGGTTCTAGGAAGAGGACGAAACTGTATTTCAACCTTGCCCAGATAGTTACAGAGAATTAGCAGATGACACGAAACAGGTACTAACTGATCCCCAGTAACAAAGTAATTATAATAATTTTTCGTAACCAGTGCGTCTTATTAGCGTACATTTGCGAACCGCGGGCAGGTCGCGAGAGAAAAAGGGTCAACCACATTCGTGTTTGTCATTTATTTCGTTCAGTCGGCTTCACCACTATTCGATTCTTTTTGTCCATCCTTTCTTTCTTTCTTTCTTTCTTTTTTTCTTTCTTTCTTTCTTTCGCCTTAGCGTTAATTTATCTGTTCGCGATTGTTTTGTGTTCATTCTATTCTGTTTCAACGGATGACGTAGGTGATCGGTGGTAACGTGACTGTAACTAGAGGTAGCAATATCACGGAATTGACACGACAGTCAAGGAGTCGTCATCATACCGACGATAGCAGTCTTGGCAGCTTTAAATTTGAGGTACATCTCATTAACGCCTCAGACATCTGTAACCAAGTATCGCCGAAACAGTAACGCCATCAAACAAAAGCATACAAAATACGTCGAGTCTAGAAAGAAACGTTTCACGCGTCATCCTGTACTTGTGGCTTTTCAGTTATTTTTATGTTCGCTGCTTCGGTTTATCGTAACAGTTACATATCTAACATTAAAGCCTCGAACACACTTGAGACTCGTGCTTCATTCGAGTAACAATAATCCGTAGGCTACGCGAAATCGTGGAAACCAGATGTCGGATCTTAAAATGTTTACGTGTCGTATAGGATCACGAGAGTACCGAGCACGACGGAGACGTGGAGGATTATTCCGAAGGAGAGAATGGAACGACTGGTTCGGAAAAGTCCCATCACAGGTTGATGTACTACCCTGCGCCAGAAGACACGATATCGAATCAATTTACCGTAAACGCGATGGACGTGGAGGAGCTTCGAAGGTTCGATGTTCGATCCGCGTTTAATAAGTTTTCTCTACGTCGCGCGAAGAAGTATAATTACTATGTTATCGCGTTACACAGATCCCAGAGGAGACAGAAGAAACCTAGGAACGGGGAAAGTGGTCGAACGAGCGAATTAACCGCTTCCGGTAGTCAGGACGACTCGGATTCGGAGGGTGGCGCATCTACACCCAGTGCCGAACGAAATCCTCTGTCCATGCTGTCGGAAGCTAGCTCGGAGGGATTCGATCAACTAGCCAAACAGAGCCACCGCGAAAAGTACCTTAAAAACGCTTTCGAATCTCTTAGCGGTGCCGAAGAACCCACGAATAGAAACGTAAAGACGACTAGTATCAGTTCCCAGTTTCATGGAAGGTAACTATCAGTCGTGGAATAGATAGAGATTTTTTTCTCCGGATTTCTTCTTTTCTTCTAACCAAACCCATGTATGCTTACAGGCTTAGCGGAGGCGATAATGGAAGTAGTACTAAGATTCGCAATGCTGCGGTAGTGAATGCAACGAAACAAACGAGAGGTGATGCAGATACTATAAAGAAACGCGAGGAATTGCAAAGGAGAATAGAGGAAACTAGAAGAAAATTGCAAAGTGTAAGTAATATTATTTTCTTCGTGAAATGTTACAGGGTACCCTATAATTTATAGGGAATGGTGCAATTCCTATTGTCGATTGCAGGTTGGCTATAAGTCGTCGTTGAAAACCAGCCAAAGCATATCTGATTTGAGCAGCCATATACCGGAGAAACATCATCGTTCGAATAGATTGAGCACAGGTAACAAATCTGGTCTGCAAACTCAATACTCGAAACCGATTAATCCTTGTAAACCTATACCGAACCCAAAGCCTCCATTAAAACCTCAACAACTCGTTAACAAAATATCGGGTGTGGGTAATGCGCTACCTAAGCTAGATATTCCATCTGAGAACTGCTTATCCAAAAGTCCGACTACGTCGTGCATAAGTGACAAGACAAAACCATCTCTTAGTCGACCGTTAACGTTAACCTTAAAGAAAACTGAAAAGTATAAGCTATCGCTGAATAAACCGAATCAGTCTTTGCCCGAGTCGCCCGTCTGCGAGGAGCTAAAGCTCTTGAAAGAACAGTGTAAAAAGAATGTTAGTCGATTCGCGAGGTTCGCGCAGAAGAGAAGATCGTGCAGCTACTTTATCGGACTGGACGACAACGAGGAGGATATGGAAAACATAGCCAAGTCTTTCGAAAGTTTACCCGCGATGAACGAGCTGAATATCGAGAACTTGAACGACGC